CAGGCCTCTCTCATCTTTTTAAGTGGGAGAACTTGCACAATTGGTGGCTGACTAAATACTTTTTTGCCCCACTGTATATGGGACTACCAAATGTAATCTTACTGGTAAGCTTATGCCTCAACTGCTGCAGAAAATACTTATTAGCAAGAACTAGGAGCCTTCCAGATGTAGAATTACATCACAGAAATAGCTGTGTATATGCCCCTATAGAATGTTCTGGTTCCCTGTAGGAAAATGATACATTTTCTTACCATGAAAGGTTTTTATGTTGACACAGTAGACTTACCATGCTTTTTCTAGAGCAGAGACAGGGTATTGAGCCTAGCCAAGCTTTAACAGTAAAAAGGAAGATTTATGAGAGACCATATCAATATTGGCAACCATTTATGTCTAATTTGACATATCTCTCCTCTGTTCCTATCTTTATCAAGCATTTGTCTTTGATAATTCTTTCTGGTTCATCTTTCTGAAAGAAGGGAAGGAGCTATCCTTTTCTATAGGAAAAATGTCAGAACTTTTCTAGCAGTGATTCCAGAAGTTAGGGAGCAGAGATACCCACTATACAATGTCCTGGGTCCTCTTTAAAAAAGCATTTTCATGATATGCCTGTGTTCTGTTTAATGGAAAATATTCAGAAATTTGTTTGACTAATGAGTTCCCATTCATCAATATGTTGTAGATGTCTCTGGTTTTACAAAATATTCTAGTCCCTGATTCAGATTTTAAAAAAGTCTTAATTTTAATGTGAAAAAAATAACATTAGGAAGATAATGTTATGTTAAAAATGACATAGGAAGAAAATTGGGAGCATTTGATGTAGTAAATAAAACATGACTAATGAATATTGGATATTTTTCTGTTGTACAGGGCATGGAATGTTATATTCATTATATGAAAATTGAGTTCATTTTATATTAAAAGAAATTCTCTAAAAATCATAAGTTAGCAGGTAGCTGTTGTTATTTTTTTCATATGCTTTCTTCTTCTTATTTCTTATTTTATTTTTACAGCAGGTTAAAACTGCATTCAAGTATACACTAGGATTCCTCCTGGTTTGTACAGTTCTTCTAATGATCGGGTAAGTAATATGCACACATACACATAAGCATGCACACATTACAATAGTATGGTTTATTTAACTGCCTTTGTAGTTTTCAAATTCGTTCATACAAACAGCAGCAAATATGCATTATTTAATCCTACTGAAAGTATCTTACATACATAAATACACATGGGTCATATTTTTTATTTTTGTTAAACGGTTCTTATTTGAGACTACAAAGGAACTGCAAACACCAGTAGCCAGTGAAAATTGGTACATTCCAGGCCCTGGTGTTTCTGATGGTTGGTGGAGTCTTACTTCTCATTTTGAAATGCTGTAAAAGGTTGGAAAGGTTCTGTTTCAGAGGAAGTTTGGAGTTGTTCATGTCATGATGGTGTAGCACAGTTGAGCTTTTATACTGTTCTATGATTGAAGAAAAAAAATACCACGTCTTTGAAATGGAACGGAAGGCAAATCTTGGAACTCTTCATGAACATTCTTGCTTTCACAGTTTTTTCATCAGTTTTTGAAGAATACCTGAGGTTACCACTTTGAATTTAGTTGACATTGTTGGCTGTGGATAACAGTGTTTGCTTGGTTTTCACTGAGCTGTTGTATTAGGCTTATGCCTGCTCCTAAGGGTTGAAGGAACTCTTCAAAGTAGAGTAATGTATGGCTGGATATATAAAGGGAATTGATTAGAATTGGGTACTCATGCTAATGGATTTTTTTTCAGTAAGACAAAGTGACCGTTAGATTTCAACTTTTGCACTGGCAAGCTATTTAGGAATTATGTGTAGGTAACAATCTTGATTAGAATGTAAAACAGGACAATTTATCTCCTGTTCAGCCTAAAAATATGCATATAATTTGTGTTGACTCCAAAATCATGAATCATGCATGAGACCTGAAAGATTACTGTATGAAGCTGCAATCTTTTGCCCAAATTAATTAAATACAGTGCATGCCCCACACAAATGTCATTGTCTCAGGTCTCTTTTCTAATATGTAGCTTGTATTTGGTGAATATTTATTGCTAGCTTGAGCTCCACATTCATTCATTATTTGATTTTTTAGCTGAGAAAGTTGGTATTTAGATAACAAAAATTCAAAGCTAATGCATTTTTGCTTGATAAATTTAATGTTTCTTTGATATTTGAGTTCTATGAAAAACTAATAATTTTGATTAAATTTGGGTACTACAATAGTTCCATGAGGGGGGGAAATCAACATTTCTCTCTGCCATTGAAAATTTAGCTTTTGGAATCAAAGGACTGAAGGTTTGAAATTGTTCTTTTTTTTTTTTTAGATTTAGTAGGGTTATATATGAGCTGTGCTATTAATCCATTAGAACATTGACAGTTGATTATAAAACTGTGTCTGCATATTCTTATTAAGATAATACATTGAATCAAATTTCTTCTAGATCAGACTTTTATTTAAATTCCCTCAAAATGGAATGTTGCAGAAATCTGTTTTTGTCATCCATTTGTAATCTTGCTTTCTTAACACTACTTCTGCCTCCTTTCCTCTCTCCCCTAAGTCACTTGAAATTGCACTTAGTTGTACAATCTCTTTTATATGACAATACCAAGAATTATGTTTCTAGATGGAAATTCACTGTTTATTTTTCACAGGCCTCATTTACTAATTTAAAATAAAATGTGACCTTAAAGAAATGAGCATGGGTAAATGACTTAGTGTCATCTTAAAGTGTGTGTTATTCTCTCCCTCTCCCTCTCCCTCTCCCTCTCCCTCTCCCTGATGCTGCTATTTAATCATTGGTATAAGAAACCATATATCTGTTGTACTGAATGGATTTCTTTTTTGCTGTAAAAAAATTAACTTCAGCTCAGTATTATTGAGATTTTACTTTTATTAAAATGTGCTGTAGCAGAATGAAGCACTTAGTTAACAAAAGCAGCCCTAGTTTATCATTATAAGTTGTGTGGGTGTTGGAGACACAGATGTTTGGGCAGATTGACTGTTGAAATACTTCTTTTCAATGTGGTACAAATGCATACCTACTTCTTTGACATAAAATGCCTGCATTATAATGTAGCATATCACTTTTCATATTCTAATTATTAAAAGAGAGTTGCTTCCAAAGATTTGGGGGAGAAGGTTGAAGCCAATTTTTATTCAACTATTCCAAGATGTGCTATAATGATGTAGCAATAAAATGTGTGATATTATTTGCTAAGATGTATTTGATCTTAACACAACTCCAGGTTTATTTTTAATCCTTGTTTGGAGAATGGTCTTATCTGCGTATGTAAATAGATAGCATCAGCATTAACAAAATATCTTTAAAAGTAGATAGAATATATTTATTAATTTAAATATTTTTAGTCAGCCTTGATATAGTCAATTAAAAAGTAATTAAAAACAACAGTAAACAGAGAAAAATATAATTGTGTAACAGTGCATAAAACCTAAAGGGCAAGATGAATAGCTATTGTTTATCTGGGCACCAAATAAAGAACAAAGCTAGAGAGGGTATTCCATAACCAGCACACCAAACCTCCCAAAGATGGGATACACTGATAAGCACCCAAGTAAGTGTATGTAAAGAAAGGCAATTCCTTAAGTATCAAGATCCCAAGTTGTGATTGCTAATGCCTTGTATTCAAACTGGAAGCATGTTGGAAGCCAGTATATTTTGTGTAAAAGTGATGTTAAACTGTGTAAGACCACTAATTTTGAAATAGATGTTTCTGCTATCTGAATTGGCAAGACAGAATATTCATATTTAAGCTTCCTCTACTCTTCATGTTATGCTTTTATAGCAAATGCTGAATATCTGAAAACCAAGATTCAAAACAATTAAAATACATTTTAAATAGAGTAGAACTATGGTTAAATCAAAAGATAACTTTCACAGAAACCAAGGGATTAGGTGCCCAATTGGAATAATTTTCTTCCTTTTGGAGCAGGAGCCTTAGTGCTATCTTGCATCTTCACACCTGTGCACCTCTATGGTTCTGCCCGAGTAACCCATTCATCTTTTTTTCCTCTTGTGTGGCTGATTAATCATTAATTAATTGTAAGAATAGTGGGAAATGTTCACTATTTCATTTAGGTGAAATTAAAATCTCTTATTTCCCAATGATCCTTTATCAACATTTTGGTTGCTAAAAGGTATGGTGAAGCAGCATTCTTTATTATGTGGAAGTTTGGAGCACCCTGGAGTTTTCTGTGGAAACAAATGCAGTATACATTAGTAAATTTTGAATGAAGACATGTTTAGAGTTGTATTAAAACTAGATTGTTGCAAGTTCAAATTAATATCTCTTTTACTTGCTCTTGAATCTAACATAAGTTCATGTTAAGTATATCAAAATAACTTGCTCTTATGCATTCTGTACTTGGCTGGTTGTCTCAGCAGATGGCAGTGCCTGGTTGATCTTGTCTAGGTTCATAAGTTAAGGAGGGTCAGGCTTGATGAACATTTAAAAGGGAGACACCAGACATTGAGAGCTGTAGGTTAGGCTAGATGGTTGAAGAGCATTCCAGAAGGTGGCAGTGGTAAGTCACTTCTGTGTTTTGCTAAGAAAATTACACACATGGGTCCACAAAATCACTAGGAGTTAGGCATCACTTGGAACAGCTAGTTTGCCTACTTATTTGTTTTCTTGCTTTCTTTACTTTCTCTGACATTCTGATTTGTCACAAAAATCACACAACTCATCTCAAGCTAATAATATTGCATTAATTTTTAAAATTATATGTAAATTTGGACATAGACATGCCTTAAAATAAATTGCTCTTATATGGAGTGAAGAAGTTGGCTAATTTTTTTAGTTATTTTAAGTTCAGTTGCTTCATCATCCTAATGATAGGATGCTTGTCATACAGGTTGCTTTTATATGTTTCATTTATTCCTGTTACAGAGCTTTTGTTCCACTGGATATTCCTAACAAGAAAAATTCAACAGAGTGGGAGAAAATAAAACTTTTGTTTGAAGAACTTGGAAGCAGCCGTAAGTTTTTTTTTTCTTGTAAATCAATTGGGTAATTTTGTATTTTCTTACTCCAAATTCCACTGGATTGGGGTGCCTTGCATTTCAATGTGTGTGAATTAAAGAACTGCTAATCTTGAGGGAATAATCCGGGGTAATATGGAAATACTGCATTAGAGATAGTTTCAGTATTAATGAAACTTGAAGCCCTGGATACCACTTATACAGAGAGATCGTGTTGATGCTAGTTGATTCTGAGTTTTGAGTAACAAATATAAATAACTTGGGAGAAACAGCTGGGGAACTCTAAAGTTTTGCTTAAGGAGCTAATTTTCTAAGGCATGTCAGTATTGAGACCCAGTTTTATTCCATTGCTGCACATAACTTTCTTACAGAGAGCTGCTTATCTATGGGGAAATATCTCATGGAATGGTGGTTCTGCTCTGCTGGAATTATTAAGCAGAAGCTGGAGAGACATTTATTGGGGTATTTAAAACATCATGCATTGATCATGGGGCTGGACTAGTTAATCTCCTTAATCCTCTCAGATTCTATGATTTATTTAAAGTATTCTTATTCTTTCGAGTTATAGCCCTGTCCAGGCAGCATACTCCTAGTGAAGAAACAATAGATATATTTGAATGATAAAACTTAGTAATCTTACATCATAAAAACACTCCAGACTTAACAGCATAAAGAACTGTTAATTGGGACTAGTGGTCATAGGATCTTGAGCACAAATGCTGTTAGTATTTGGTGTTGATATTATTACTTAACCTCTTACTTAACCACTAGTAATAGAGAACTAGTGACCCTCCCTTGTTGGATTCTTACTCTCATCAGCACTACCTAGCATAGCCTCAGATCAAGGATAATAAGTATTGCAGTCCAACAAGGTCTGAATGGTCACCAGTTCCTCACTGTTTGAATTATCAATGCCAACATCAATTTCTAACACAATTTTTTTTGGCGGGGGAGTGACCACTGACATTTGACATTTTATTCTGCCTTTAACCATGTTTATACTACCAATTTTTGATACTTTATACTTCCCTATGATACTGGATTGCACTCAATTCATTCTCGTTTGGTTGTATACATTTTAGCAAAGCATCTCTATCTTTTCCCTTGCAGATGGTTTAGCTGCCCTCTCCTTCTCTATAAGTTCTTTGACCCTTATTGGAATGGTGGCAGCTATTACCTATACGGTAAGCAACAGGCTTTTTGTCTTATCTCCATTTAAGGCTGGCTGTATTTTTCAACACTTTGAATTCTGTCATATGTTAATGCAGGATCAAATCCAGTGTTCTTGAAGTTAAGGGATAACAGGTGATTTAAGTTGCAAATCTGTAATGCTTCCCTGAATACCGTATTTTACCTTTTCTCAGCTTTAGGTCAACAAGTAAAGTGAGGCTTAATGGGATGATATAGTTGATTCTTTAAAAGAGAAGATCTAGATTAAGAATGATGAATTTTTGGCCCTTTTGATGTTGTTGAATTACACTTCCCATAATGCTTGTTCTTTCTGGTATCTGCTTTTGGAATTGAAGACAACATTTGAATGGGTTCCACACTGATTCTAGACTCCAATATTTGTTTTGCAATGCTAAATGTTTTTTTTCTTTTTAAACTATATGCAGGACTTGTAAGAAAATAAGGATAAATCAGTAACAGCTTTTACTATATAAGCAGAAGCTGTGCAACAAAATTTTCTTATCTACCTTCAGGTGCCCAGATTTGTTTGGAAAATCTTTAATCTGCAGAGCAGATTTTAAGGATATGAGAAAGGCTGCAGTGGGGAAGGGAATGATGCTTTCCCTGTTTTGGTGAGAAAAGCACTTACAGCAGCAGCAGGATTGTGCTTATTTTGCAGAGGGTACTTGACAGTATAAATTAGGACCAGGGAATCCACGTGACTGATGTATTGATGAACCAAATTTTTAATGAGAAAGTAGTTTCTTTGCAACATTTAAATACCAAACAGTTGCTTTTGAAATTTTAGATAGTAAGGCAATATGGATTTGTCCAAAAGTATATACATTTCATGAATCTGGTTAGTTTATTTAGTTGCCTTGAAGTGGTAGTATACTATTATTACATGTCCTCAAAATTTAGTATCCAGGGAGTGAAGGATATTAAAATGAATAGTGCAGTTGTGATGTATCATCCTGACTCAACATTACAGTCAGCAAAAGTTTGGTGCCATCTCTTAAGTCGATGTGTCAAAGCTGAGGATACAAAATGGAATCACTGTTATAGATCTTTGTATCCTTAGTACTGAACTTCTCAGCATGTTGGCTAAAATGTTTCCCTGGTTTAAAAGCTTTTGCCTTAAGAAACTCTGTTTCATTAAAATATTTTTAAATTCCAGTATAAAGATTGTATTCTATTATTAATTTATTTAGAAAAGAGCAATTCATTTTTATATTAGTCCCTTTAGCCTACAGCAGATATTTTGGGAGTTACTTCCTAAAGAATACTGGTAAGTGATAATTATGGTCTTCCCTACTTGTATTATAGAAATAAGTAAACAACAACTTACAGAACTTGGGTAAGTATTTCTAAGATTGTGTGCCGGAGATGGCCTTGAAGGGAATATTTAGAAGCTGTGATAGAAACAAAGGCAAAAGCATTCCTCAAGGCATGGGAAAGGAAATAGTATTAGGAAGAGGCTTAGGCAGTCTCTTTCCTGACTCAATGGGGTATAAGAAGGAGAGAACATTAAACACAAGCAGACTTGGCAATATTCTGTTACTATAGCCTAACTCAATAAAGTTTAGTTCTAGTCTTTCTATGGAATTGGTTTCCTGATGTGGTCTACTTCATAGGGCTGACAGCTTCACATACTTCAGTGTATTTCTTAAATACATTCACTTAAATACACTCAGAGTGTGTTTCTTTAAAAATGTTGAAGTTTTTTTTCCCTCTTAGAATATTCACCAGTTGAGCAAATAGGAAAGCTCCAGTAAGCTGAAAAAGATCTGCCACTTGTGAGTGTACATTTGGACTTTCTGGTGAGAAGTTTGTAATTACGGAGAGGTTAACCAGTTTAGAGAATGTTTATCAAGGGCTCCCCATACAGTGAGTGTTGGGGGGTGTTCCTCAACCCCAGGGCCTGGGAGGTGCCCAAGGGATTCACTGTTAGGGGGTTGATCATTATAGGCCCGAGCTGATTATAGTAGTATCTGGGGGAGTGGTCAGGAGTAGCTTGGTAGACTGCTGTTTCCTCCAGTGGAAAGTAGAATTTTGTATGACTTTAGGAAGGACCAAAGGAGCAGGGGTGGTGAGGGGATGGGTGCCAAGAGATGAGCATGGTATATATTTACAGTGACAGAGGGGCCTAAGAAAGGAGGCTTTAGGCTGACTGAGAAGGGAGTTTGGATATCTAGTGACAGTTTCCTCTTCTAGCTTACCTATCAGCTGTCTTCTAGCACACCTGTCTATCACCTGCTTAGAGATTGCTGGGCCTAGGCCCTGGGCTACTGCTGGTAATGCCAGGTTTGTGCTTAGCAAGGCCATGTCCATCCAAGATACTGTGATAGAGGAATGCTTGGAAAATGCTAGGTGAGTATGGGATGTGGTTGCACCTCAAATCTGCCTTCCCTGGTTTTAAGTTCTTTAGCCTTTCAATGCTAGGGAGGTGAGATAATGACCAAGAGTCATGCTCTACCAATGACTTTGGATGAATGGCTGTATGAGAAATGGCTGTATTGCAAGAACAAGTTTAAGATACTGCTTGGAGAGCCCCCAACCTTGATTATGGTAGGATATAAATGTGTTCAGGAATTCATGGCTTCTGTGGCAACTGGTGTGTCCAGGTGCTAGCTGGGGGAAAGTCATATGCCACACCTAGTTTTCACCTCAGAGCAGTTGGAATATAACCTGAAGATGGAGTATATTAGTCCTTTGCTATGAATGGATCACTTCCTGGTAGATATAAGGCTCTTGGGTATCCTCTGCAAGGGTGGAGGACCGACTAAGATTGCCCCCCCCCCCCCGGCCTTATAGATCCATTTTATTTCTGGTAGGTGCTTCAGGATTTTAGCAGGCAGTTCCACTATGTACCTCATTCAGCTTTGGAACTCAGAGACAAGGGTATTCTTGAGATTGCTCCCAGGTGGCGTCTCTTTATTCACCACCTTTGGGCGTTCCTTGATTTACTGAGGAATTCCAGGAGATGAAGTATCAGAAATGAAAAATGAAAAGTAAATTTGCCAGATGCAGGCATTAGGTCACATTTGGGTAAAGTCACTAAGGCATAAACGCCCATGAGCAAATTGCAGAGTCCTTGATAAAGTAGATGATCTAGAACCCTTTCAGATATGGACATAGATGAAAATTGCATTGGTTACTCAAGTGGATGAACTTTATTGAAATCTGGATAAAGGGAGTTTGCTCTCTTGGTCCTGTTAGACCATTCATCTGCATTCACTATCAACCATAGTTTCCTCCTGAACTGCCTCAGTTGGAGTGGGTGATACTGTTTTATGGTGACCCTGCTTTTTCATGAGTGAGCAGTTTCAGTTGGTAATACAGGTAGTCCTTGTTTAGCACCCACAATTGGGACCGGCCACTTGGTTGTTAAGTGAAGTAGCCACTAAGTAAAACTTCAACTGTGTTTATGATCTTACTTCAGCTTTCCTTTGCTTTACAGACCTATGAAGGTCGTAAATGCAAGGATTGGTCGTAAAGTTACTTTTTCATCACTGTTATAACTCTGAATGGTTGCTAAACAAGGACTACCTGTAATAGGGAAGAAAAGGTCATGACCCTGGCTATTCCTATTGGGGAGGTTCCACACTGCATGTGGGCAGCACAGTTTTATTTTCCTGGACACTTGGAGTCTGGTTATTTTTCTTTAGCATTTATTTGATATGTTACTGTTTTTAGAATCAGGAAAGAAGATATGAAATCTGCTTGGAACAGAGTGAAAAGATCTATTATTTAGCTAGCTAGCTAGCAACTGGAATAGCCCTGGCCCTGAGAATGGGAAAGTGATGAATGAACTATTAAGGGTGATTTTCAGAAAAGATAATTCAGTCCTGAGAAGAAGAAAAGATAAGAAATAAACTCGAAATAACCCCATGTTGATTTTGTTTGGTACAAGATGAGGCAGAAGGACAGTCCGAGAATCCCTGCTGTCCCTGTTTCTTGACTTTGCCTACCCATAGGACTCACAGTGTTGTACGTATATAAACAGCATGAGTACCTCCAGCCATAAAACAAGCAACCATACAAAAGTAGAATAAGAATCATCACACAAGAAAAGCACAAAAAGAGAGAGAGATGCTTGAAACCACTCTAGGCCCAAAGGCCTGCCAAAATAAAACTGGGTTGAGGTCCTTCCTGAATTAGGTGGGAGCTAATTGCATCTGCAGGAGAAGTGTGTTCCATAAGTTCTCCTAATTTAAAACCTCATTTATTTCCCACTGGAAAAGAAGATGATTTGCATAGTTTCTAAAGTCTGATGGGCAGTAATTCTGAATACTATACAGTAGAAGCAAAGCATTATTATTATTAGTAGTAGTTGTTGTAGTGGTAGTAGTAGTAAAATTTATATGTTGCCCAATTCCCAGCAACTTTGGGCAGTTTACAGATTAATTAAACAAGACATTTTCCCCATTATTCTTCATGAAATTTGCCATCATTCTATTTCAGAACTTGAAAATAACTAAGATTTTAGCTTCATGGGTTATCTTCACTGATAACGTAGCTGTTTAGCCATTTAGAAACTTAATCCTTCTTTCTATTAAGTACTAAAATACTTTGAGATGTATAACCTGCCAGTGCATTTAAACAACTGACACAAATTCTCCAAATTAAATGTAACTTTAGTTTTATTTGCAAATGCTGTATCTATTCTGTTTATTACATTCAATTTAACTCGTGGGCATTTGGAGGTAGCAAGCTTATTACTAGCAAAGCGTTGTCTCTTCGAAGTCTTTTTTATTCTTATTATTTGTATCTACAATATTGGGACTTAACTGGTACCATATTTATAAGCAAAGAAGCATAAGCACAGCACCTTGAAACAAAATGATGGCTGTCAGCAAGCCAAACATCATTTCTCATAGTCGAAACTGTACATTTTCAAGCTTGCAGTTCAGTTTCTGTAAATTTAAAAACAAAGCATGATATATGATTACTAGTTAAGAAGAACTTAGAGCTTAGTTAAAATTATTTTAACCCACTGGCTGAAATCACACAGGCCAAGTAATAAATAGCTTCTTGGAGTTTGATTTAATGCAAGGGGACAAAAAAATGGCCCAGGGGCCATGTGCTCCCCCAGCCCCCCTTTTTGGCTTTCAGAGGTCCTTCCCCATGATGGAGCCAAATTTTTTAGCCTTTTCTTTGATGGCCGTTAAAGGAGAAGAGAAAGTGGTGCAATAAGTGGTGCTGGCCTAGAAACCAGGAGATGGTTCTGGGCCTCCTTTAGGTATGAAAGCTGGCTGGGTGACTTTGAGCCAGACTCTCTCTCTCTTAACCCAGCCCACCTCACAGGGTTGTTGTGGAGAAAATAGGAAGCAGGAGGATTAGGTAAGTTCGCCACCTTGAGTTATATATAAAAAGGCGGAATAAAAATATAACAGTAGTAGTAGTACACATATTTAAAGGAAAAGTGTCTTAAGGAAACAACCTCCTCCCACTCAGCATGGATTGGCTACAGAATATAGATTTTGAGCTGGGGCCTAGAAAATGGTATGGTAGGAGTAGAATGGAGTATTGTGCAAGGAAACACGTTGACTGTGTATTCCAGAAGTACTTTTAAATTGGATCATTCTTGTTTCAAGTAAATAGATAGATGGTTTCTGCAAAGCACTGAATAAATGGTTACAGTATTGTGTATTCCAGAAGTACTTTTAAACTTGATCATGCTTATTTTGAGGATTTTTTCTGTTAATATATATTCAAGATTTGTTTGTTTGTTTGTTTTGGGGTGTTTTTTTAAGTAATTGCTGCAGTCCCCCCCCCCCCCCTTCTT